TGGCAACGTCATGTAAAAGCACCGATGGCCGCAGGTGGTTGCGCAGATTTAATAAATCATCATTTTGCGGACTGTTTAAGTCAACGACGTAGCAGAGAACGGCTTTCGGCGTCGTGATTGCGCAGTTTACACAAGAAGCTGCGGTTTTCTCATCTGACTTTTCAAAAGTGCCATAAACGATCTTCGAGCAGAGGACAAATGGCAGTACGACGAGCGAGTGGCGAGAGAGTCTGTCTGCTCGACATCGCGTCGCCTCACCACCGAGACACCATTTCCATGCCTCATGCCTCCTCAATCAATTAATCGTCGGTAGCATGTAGCATTAATCACTGTTACTTGTCGATGTTTATCTGATTCATTCCATTCCGCTCGCCTTGCGCGGCGATCGGATCGATATGTGATAAGCACACCTTTGTCAAGGCTAGCTGCTTAAGCAGTTGATCGAAAGCTGTTTGTCAAAATCCACACTTCAGTAAGAGTGTCATAGACGATTGGCAGTGACCCGAGCGGCTGAGAAAATTCGTCAAGTGTTGCCACTGGCACTGATGCCCACATTCTAGCGATCGACGAAAGACATTGGACAAGGCACAGTGTATAGTGGACAGTGGATAGTGGACAGTGGATCTGTACTCCGTCGGCCACGGGCAATTTCCTATGCGGCCACTGGCTCGCATGAAGAGGGTGTCTGATACGATCCACTTCAAGCATGATCTCGACGTCCAGGCGTGACGCGTTCCGGTCGCCAGCTGTATTCGAGGGTTTGACTCTCGCTGACAGGGCGTAACCTCCTTTGATCCGTATTCGACGGACCCGAAGTGTTTAATACGCATGCGCGCAAAAATCGATTCGTCTTGAAACTCGCGCTTTGTTCTCCTCTTCCGAAAGCATCCGATACTTCTTGTTGCGAACAATTGCTTGCCGCGTGTATGTCTGTCGGCCTGGTCTGCGCGATTTCCTGCCGCGTTGTCTTGGCGATGAGGCGCCGCCCGCTCTTTCCTCACTTCCTCACTTTCATTTGAAGTACTTCCCGCGTGGGAGCGAATTCGGCAATTAACCAGAGTCGGCGGCGTTCGTCGCGTCGGCTGAACTTACTCTGCAGACGCGAGGTGACTCCCCGAGGTCAGACCTGAAACCTCGCCCTCGTCGTATCTTAACAAATTTTTCCCCTTGTCGTTGTTGTTGTTGCTGCTGCTGCTGCTACCACTACTACTACTCATACACTCACTGTCACTCGGCGTTTCGCATTTATGATACGGCGTGTGTAAGACGGATAATTAATTGGCTTCGTTGAAACTGGTCACTTTAGGTACTGCTGACTGGCGAGTTCGCGCAAACGGAGTCCAGATCGGACTGACATTCGACACTCTCCGCTGCTCCTGTCCCCCCAGCTGACACATGAAACCGGAGCTCGCCGAAGTTTTCCTCCTCCTTGCGCGTATATTCGCCGCATTGTCCAACTCGTGGACCGGCGCCGACTTGCACAGGACATCAGTGGTTAGGAAATGCAGTGCTGCCC